CTCCGGGCGTGGGTCTGGGTCCGTGCGTGCGTGTGAGCAAGAGTGTCAGTCACGGCCTTGGCCTCTGCATCGCTTACGGAGAGTCGAAGCGGAGAGGCCGCGGGTCAAGCACAGCGGTCGGCCATACTGGAAACGGGCACGGGCCGCGGGCTCTGGGCGCTGGCCTGCGAGGGGCGGGGCGCGGCCCTGGGCGCCGCCCCCGCCGTGTCGTCACCTGGGCGGCCCGCCCGGCAGTCTGCCCTCCCCGGGGTCCGTGGGTCGGAACTCCTCGTCCCGCCTTCGGAGGCCCACGGCTTCAGAGGCCAGGCGGGACGAGGGCAGCACACCCGCAACCCGTCACCGCTGGCCCGCCGGGGAGGAGGAGGAGGGAGACAGGCCAGGGCCCAGCCGCCAGGACTTACGATGGCGGCTCAGGCTTCGCGGTGACGGCGATCACGTGCGGACCGGGAGGCCTGGCCGCGCAGCCGCCCTAGTACGGGGGCGGGGTCGGGGAGGGGCTGCGGGGCGCTGGGGCAGGCTGGGACGCGTCTGTGAGCAGGGGACAAACCCCTGCATCCCTGGTACTGCGATGCGAGAGCCTTCCAGAGGACTGAGTGCGCTTCCAGACCTCGAGGCCCAGCGCGGAAAATCCATTCTAATGTCTCCTCCTGGCCGCACCTCCGCCTCTCAGCCGCTTCGAGAATACCCATGGCCTGATTGAGTTCCTGGTGGCGCTGCCTTGGGGACGCGGACCTGCTCTATTCATCTTTGTATCCTTCAAGACACAGCACCCAGGAACGCTTAATGGACTCCTCCTGCCCTTGGCTTGTGCCCACTTTGCTGCGAGAAAGCCCTTTGGGGTGTGTGTGTGTGTGTAAAGCAGCAGTGTGCCTGTAGGCAGAGGGCAGACTGTTCTTTAGAACAGCGTCCAGTGTTCATGCTGGCTTTCTCCGTCTTGGAATAATTCTTAAGACATTTTATTCACATATTTCCTTCAAGGCTCAACACAAATGCGGTCTCTTTTAGTCTCCTTCAGGAAGCCACCTCATGCCTCTTAGATGCTCTTTTCATCTTAGGTCAAGGTTCTTCGTGGGCGTGGCTGTTCGCTACAAACTCCCTCTTTAATCAATTAGTAACTTCCCCTAGTTCCTAATTTTGTAACTATCTTAGTTACTTCCCCTAACTACAGAGCCGTTTGCTTATGCTTAGCAGGATTTGTTGAGTGAATCCTTGTATGAAGGCCAAGTCCACCCCTAATACGTCTTGGAACAAACTACATGGGAAAATAAAATTTCAGGAAGACTTAACAAAAGAAACTCAAAGTGCTACCCTATGCAGTAGTCTTTGTCAAGCAAGCACTTTATATTTTAATAGCCTTACCCTGATATTTGAAAAGCACTTTTACTTTTCTGAATATTAGAGTCAGAATTCAATCGAATTTTGTTCTCGATATAATTAAATAGGAATAATTAGTATTATCTCTAAGTTGGCTTTTCAATGTTTGTATCTGGAAGGCTTTTAACTCACCGAAGAAATCAAGCCCAAGGATAAGTAACTGAGTGCCTTAGCTGGGTCAAAACTCACCTTCAAGGTGAGGCACAAGGACTCAGCAGCCCTTCACCGACTACCAGGTTCAGGGCAGACAAGTCTCTTCAACCATGAAATGCTCAGTTTCTCTTAACAGGAATCGACCACATCCTCTGATTAGCCTGAGGCTCAAGAGCCCCATGGGAGCTAAGCATATGGCTATAATTGGAGCCTAGACATATACAGACCTGTTTGATCAGAGGCTGATTTCCCATGAAGCTAATGAAGTTTAAGCTTTAGGGCCCCTCTCTTGCACAAGTTTCTTTCAAGGCCCTGCATCTAATTTTGTGTTTATAAGCTTGTATTCTTGTTCTTTAAGCCCCCCATCCCCAATAACTGTGTAAGCATTTAGGGCCCACCATACCTGAACCCCCCCTGTGCCTGATGGATGTTGGGAGTCACAGGGGTGATGATGGCAGTTTGTTTCCAGGAAAGGGCAACGAGACTGCTGGGAGAATAATAATAAAAGAAGAACTTACTGGACAGCTTGGTAAACTGTGTTGGAGAGCACCTGGAGTTGAACCGCCATCACCCCATCATCCCCTCTCCCCCAACAGCCATGTGCCTTGGGAAGGAGAGAACTACATTAAAACTAAAGGAACTGGGGATTCCCTGGCAGTCCAGTGGTTAAGACTCCGAGCTTCCACTGCTGGGGCCCGGGTTCGATCCCTGGTCGGGGAACTAAGATTTCGCGCGCTGCACGGTGCGGCCAAAAAAAAGAAGAAAAAAAAGGCGAAGGAATTATCACCAAGGACCCTTCTGAAGTTCCAATTAGCAGCAGACACCCCTCTAATCCCCTTTGGGGAATTAGAGAGACCTGGGCATTTGGCAGGCTATTTCACTGGCAGAATCAGTGAAAAGCAGCTAAACCTGTGGTTCTCACAGTGTCCTCCCCAGACCAGCAGCACCAGCATCACCTGGGAACTTATCAGACATGCACATTAGCAGCACATCCCGGACATGTGGAATCAGAAACTCTGGGTTGAGCTCCTGAGTCTGTCTTTTAACAAGCCACTGGGTGATTCTGATACATGCTCAAGTTTAAAGACTATTGCACTAAGTTGGAACATGCCAGGACCTACAAAAGGTTGGGTCTCCTCACCTTCTAGTCAACTTTGTTCTCTACCCAGATTAGTAAACTATTGGAAGCAGAGTTAAAAGGGACTCAGGTGAACTTGGGCTTAAATCCCAGCCCTGCCTTTATTAGCTACATGATGCTAGGCAAACTACTCAACTATTCTGGCCTCAGTTTCCTTATCTATAAAATGATATCTAATAAATTGGGGGAAATTAAAACACCATATGAGGCACAGTGAAAGTTCCAATGATCATTGATTTATACTCCCACTTCATTCCACAAAATATTTGAGGAGGCTTACAAGAATACTTTCATTGTAATAAAAATATATATGAATTAAAATTTGGGACCTGGAGGGGAAAATACTGTTGGAGTCCCCAGGGCTCCATCTCACTGGCTCACTGGTTGACTGCACATGGGCTCCTGGTGTTTGACACCATCTATACTCTTTTTCAAGTCCCAACTTTATGTCACCAGCCAGACCTCACTGTACCTGTTGCTGCATCTATTTGACATCTTAAACTCACATGAACTCCTAATCTGTTCCCCAAACCATTTCCACCCACAGCTTTTCCTGTCTCCAGGGCAACTCCAACCATCAGTTGCTGCTTCTCATCACCTTCATGGTATACTCAGGGATAAGCCCCATCATCTTCTGCCTGGATTTCGGCAAGAACTTCCTAACAGGTTTCTCTGTGCCCAACTGTAAAAGGAAAATTTTCCACTTACAGCCCTTGCCTAGGAGATATCAAAATGGGATGCTGTGTTGTACCGCAACTGGTTCAAACCAACTGAAACTGATAAAGGACTGTGAACTTTGAGTGACCCCCTAGGCCAGACCCTTATTAGGCCTAACTGAAGACTTGTTTCTGCCCATTGAACAAAGTTCCCTGTTTGATCCAGCACTGTTCTTTCCTATGAGGGTGCTGGCTTTCAATCTTAGATTAGCATCACCCCCATGAACCCCCTTTCCTCTTTCTAGCACTTAAAAAATCCTGACTTTTCCCAATTCATGAATTAGTAAACTTTTTCACTGATGTGTTTCCTTGCCTGACAAGTATATAAACTCAGCTTTGATTTTATTTTTTTAAGTTCTGGTGGTATTTGCTTTCTTTTTTGACATAAATTTGCATGTTTATAGTCTATTGTCCACACAGCAGCAGAATGACCATTCAAAGCATAAGATACCTCCGTCCCTCCTGCAGTGGCTCCCATCTCCGGGTAAAAAACCAAAGCTCTTCTGGCCCACGTGGCTCTACACAATCTGGCCCCCCATGAACTTTGACTTCCATTTCTACTGCACTCCCCTGAGGTCAGTTTATTTCAGCTGAACTCGCCTCCATTGTGTTCCTCAAACATACCAGGGATGCTTCCTCTCCAGGGCCTAAGTCCCAGCTCTTCCCTCTGTCTGAAGTGCTTTCTCCTCCCCCAGTTCCCTGCTTGGCTCACTTTCTCACCTCCTTTCAGTCTTAGCTCTGTCATCACCTTCTTAGTGAAACATACTCTGATCACCATTGTTAATACCGCAGTTTAATAATATATCCAACCCCAAGTCCCAATCCTCCTGACCCTGTGCTCATTGATTCTTTTTCCGTAAAATTTATCACTTTCTATAATACCATTTAATTTACTTATTCATTATGTGTTGTCATGATCTGTCTTTCACCCCCATCTGTTTTGTTCACTGATGTATCCCAAGCTTCTGGAATATATTAGGCTCTCAGTAACACTTATGGAATGACTGATGTATGGATGAATGAATGAATAATACCAAAAGATAAAGATCGGTAAGACAGTCCTTTCCCTCAAGGGAACTTAAAGTCTTAGTGGATAAGATAGATAGGTACAAAATGTCACAGGAGGGAGAGAACCAAAGGAGAAATGAGGAGAATTAAAGGAAGGCAACTCTGGGTTCCACCAATGTCTTTATTTACCCAGCCTTTGCAACGTCTACTGTTTTTTCTTTGTTTTCAGTTCTCTTTCATCTAGTTCAGAGTATGAATAAAGCCCACAGCAATAAG